TATCTGGCTAATTTTTGGCATACATTTAGGTAAATGGCTTGACCTTTAGGGAAAACTGTCGGTTACACTCAAAGCCCTCGACGAGGGCTAAAAAGTGACCGCGAGTGAAATTCTCTTCATATGAGCTCTATTACGAAAAAAAATTTCCTCCGACGACCCCCCTTGATATTTTGTGAGGTGGTAGAAGAACACCTAGGGGTGTCATAAAAAACTCGGCATATCTGGGAAAACTTCGTAAAGCGGTCAAAACTGACCAGTTGTATTTCCCTATATAATCTTTGTATTTTATGGGAAAAACAGAGGGTTATTTCAACGCAGACTTTAGGGTACTTAAGCTCAGTATATCTGGCTAATTTTTTGCATGCTCCTAGGTCAATGGCTTGACCTTTAGGGAAAACTGTCGGTTTCACTCAAAGCCCTCGACGAGGGCTAAAAAGTGACCGCGAGTGAAATTCTTATTATATGAGCTCTATTACGAAAAAAAATTTCCTCCGACGACCCCCCTTGATATTTTGTGAGGTGGTAGAAGAACACCTAGGGGTGTCACAAAAAACTCGGCATATCTGGGAAAACTTCGTAAAGCGGTCAAAACTGACCAGTTGTATTTCCCTATATAATCTTTGTATTTTATGGGAAAAACAGAGGGTCATTTCAACGCAGACTTTAGGGTACTTAAGCTCAGTATATCTGGCTAATTTTTTGCATGCTTCTAGGTCAATGGCTTGACCTTTAGGGAAAACTGTCGGTTACACTCAAAGCCCTCGACGAGGGCTAAAAACTGACCGCGAGTGAAATTCTCATTATATGAGCTCTATTACGAAAAAAAATTTCCTCCGACGACCCCCCTTGATATTTTGTGAGGTGGTAGAAGAACACCTAGGGGTGTCACAAAAAACTCGGCATATCTGGGAAAACTTCGTAAAGCGGTCAAAACTGACCAGTTGTATTTCCCTATATAATCTTTGTATTTTATGGGAAAAACAGAGGGTCATTTCAACGCAGACTTTAGGGTACTTAAACTCCGTACATCTGGCTAATTTTTTGCATGCTTCTAGGTCAATGGGTTGACCTTTAGGGAAAACTGTCGGTTACACTCAAAGCCCTGGACGAGGGCTAAAAAGTGACCGCGAGTGAAATTCTCATGATATGAGCTCTATTACGAAAAAAAATTTCCTCCGACGACCCCCCTTGATATTTTGTGAGGTGGTAGAAGAACACCTAGGGGTGTCACAAAAAACTCGGCATATCTGGGAAAACTTCGTAAAGCGGTCAAAACTGACCAGTTGTATTTCCCTATATAATCTTTGTATTTTATGGGAAAAACAGAGGGTCATTTCAACGCAGACTTTAGGGTACTCATGCTCAGTATATCTGGCTAATTTTTTGCATGCTCCTAGGACAATGGCTTGACCTTTAGGGAAAACTGTCGGTTACACTCAAAGCCCTCGACGAGGGCTAAAAAGTGACCGCGAGTGAAATTCTCTTTATATGAGCTATATTACGAAAAAAAATTTCCTCCGACGACCCCCCTTGATATTTTGTGAGGTGGTAGAAGAACACCTAGGGGTGTCACAAAAAACTCGGCATATCTGGGAAAACTTCGTAAAGCGGTCAAAACTGACCAGTTGTATTTCCCTATATAATCTTTGTATTTTATGGGAAAAACAGAGGGTCATTTCAACGCAGACTTTAGGGTACTTAAGCTCATTATATCTGGCTAATTTTTTGCATGCTCCTAGGTCAATGGCTTGACCTTTAGGGACAACTGTCGGTTACACTCAAAGCCCTCGACGAGGGCTAAAAAGTGACCGCGAGTGAAATTCTCTTTATATGAGCTCTATTACGAAAAAAAATTTCCTCCGACGACCCCCCTTGATATTTGGTGAGGTGGTAGAAGAACACCTAGGGGTGTCACAAAAAACTCGGCATATCTGGGAAAACTTCGTAAAGCGGTCAAAACTGACCAGTTGTATTTCCCTATATAATCTTTGTATTTTATGGGAAAAACAGGGAAATTTTAACACAATTTTTAGGTTACTTAATGTCTGTACATCATGCTAAGTTTTTGCATACACTACTATAGATGACTAGGCCGTATGGAAAAACTGTTGGTCAGACTCAAAGCCCTCGACGAGGGCTAAAAGATGGTCTTGAGTGAAATTCTCATTATATGAGATATATATATATATATATATATATATATATATATATATATATATATATATATATATATATATATATATATATAAATAAATTGACGAACGATCCCCTTAATATTATGTGACGTCGTAGACCGACCCTGGAGGGTAACAAAAAAAACTTTATTGCCGTCGGAAACAGCCATTATAGTCGTTAATTATGTTCATATAACGTAATTTCTTATATAAGCAAACAATATAAGTAAACAATGACATACGTCATACGTTCAGTTTTCAAGGGAGGTAACGTTTTTAAAATTATTATTTTTCAAATAATTGTATACTATTTTAAACAGAAACAGAAAATGACGAAGTATAGCATTTGTTTTAGTACAAAATTAAGTTGTTAATTTAGTTAAGTATCCTAATTAAATTAATTAATTAATTTCAAAAGGCAATGATATATAATCTATGAGATATAATGTTCATGAAACCTGTGTAGTTCTAATTCCATTTTAGTTATAGATTGCGTACTTTCCAAAAATTCTCTTTGAACTGTATATAAATGACGAACAAAAACATGTTTTTTCTAAAGTTAGCATTACTGTTTAAATTCAACTTATTAAAGCACTCCACACCCAATCCATCGCTAAATAATTAAGTATTCGAATTCTCAAATGTTTTTTAAAAACCTAAGCGAAGCTAGGCAGTATGCCTAGTAATTACATAAAAGCTTGTTATTAAAAAGTTTTTTAATGATTTTTTTTCAGTACTTTACATGTTTTATGTACAATAGAGTTACATGACTAAAAACCATTGCGCGCCTACTGAACGTGATGACGCGTGTGGTGTGGTTGGATAGACAAGCCTAATAATTCGGTCCAAATTTTAATTAATTCATAAAAAATTAATTAGGCATCCAATTAAGTCAAATTTAATGTCATAATGCATTGTCTTCATGTCTTGACCCACGTGCCAACTGTGAATCGTATCGGTCAAGTAGAAGTGTCCAAATTTTCACTCCGGCGTTTCGATCTAGACTGACGACAGACTGACGAGGAAGTGAGTTAAATAAAAGCTTGTAAAAACGTTTTAATAACAAGTTTTAATGTAATAATGCACTAAAAAGTAGAAAGTAAATTAGACACTACTATTTAAATAACTATAAAGAAAAGAGGTCCGTGTCGACATCAATTGTTGTTCAATAAGTTTTCATCCAAACCTCAGGACCGCTGCATACTAAGTCACGGCCTCTTTACATATTGCTGCATTCACACTCGTAGGTGGGAGTGGGGGGTCCGTAATTTTGTGACGGTGTGTAATGAGGGGGAGGGGGTCAGATGGTGTGACGTCATACTTTTCCATTATTAAAAAAACTATGTTAGAAAACGAATGTTAGCCGTTATTTCGCGTTTTAGAAAACCGTTTTAATAAATTGTAATGGAAATTAATTACAGAGTTCAGAAAAGATTTTTTTAAAATATCGTATTTTAAGAAAAATTCAACTGCATTTTAGGGGGGGGGGGGTAGGCTGAGGTGTGGCGTCATTTTAGGGGGAGGTATGGGTTTTTGTTACAATGTGTGACGGAGGAGAGGGGGGGGGGGGGTAAAAATCGTCAAAAAGGCGTGAAGTCATTTATGGATGACCCCAGCACTAGCAAAACGACAAATCGGTAGTTAGCATTTATAAGCCCAGTACGACAACTATGTGTCTACCTGTTATGCGACCTATAGGTTATTTACTCCCTTTCGGCTTGATGTTCTTTTGTAGTATGATTCCATAGACTTTGTCAAACCGAAGAACAAACTACAATGCAGCAGTTGCTTGTTTATGGATAAGAGTTGCTGTCCCTTGCTACCGTCTAATCAGGGCGGTGGACTTGAACTCGGGCTTTTTGGTTTTTAGCCAAGAGCTTTACTGATCGACCACGCGGACTCCAGTTGATTTTTTTTTTTTTTTTCGTAAAATATCAAATTAAGTAACCATTAAAAAATCTAAAATATTGCTTGGTAGTAGTTTACAAAGTAGTTAAATGTGTATTCCGTTAGCTAAGTGTTGTCACTGAACTGTGATCCCCAGAGAGTCGAAATGAATATATACAATTTATCCACCTTATAATTTAAAATTAGAAACATGTCGTAGCCTACTGCTAATCTACTAGACCTTCATAACAATTAGTAGAATCGTAACGATAATGCAATTAGGTGTTGACCCAATTAACGGTCTACAGGTAATTGTTGCACATATTTTAGTCACAGAAAAAAACTAAGCCTAAGTTAACGATAAGGGGAGATAACAGTACAGTAGCCTTGGGCAGTAAACAAAGTTCAACTTGATGACGTAGCTTTGTCACGTGATGAGCCTTGTCACGCAATACTGCTAGATATTTCAAACATAAAACTGTTGCATTAAACTGTTGCATCCTTTCGGTAGGGGGGGGAGGTTGCAAGCCTCCCCCCCCCCCCTCCGAACGGAAATGGAATTTATATAGAAAATATATACTTTTAACAGTGTCCGCACCGCCCTCCCGGAAATTTTAGTTCCCCCCCCCCCCCACCCCCGGAAAGAACAGTCTGGAAGAAATACTGAACACAAAGGGGGTGATTTGTGGCGAAATATTTGTACGTAATTACACATTGATATATACATTATATATATATATATATATATATATATATATATATATATATATATATATATATATATATATATATATATATATATATATATATATTATATATATATATATATATATATATATATATATATATATATATATATATATATACATATATATATATATCCTCTCTATTCGAAACAAATGAACATGAGAGTTGAGATAACAAACTCCGAAAACCTACCTTAACACACGTTAATGTTAGCTGATTGATGTGTAGTGTGTCGAAATGTGGGTCCAAAGTTGTAAACTTGTAAACCTACATCGTGTGTATGAAATGCTGACACATCAGGGTTCCACAGTGTCGGCTGTTTAATGTTAGGTAACCTTTGACCTCAACCGTTTTTTTTAACCGTTTTTTTTTTGTCAGGAATGACATTTGTCGATTGTCAGGGAGGTAATGTATTACAACTAGAATTTAGCTATTTTTAGGTTAGCTCCCCTGACAACCAACTCGTAATGACTAAACCACAAGTTAGGTCGAAGCACGATGTGATACTTGTCTTTCGTTGGCTAGGAACGACTAGATCTAGTAGTTTTATATTTATAGTAGCTAGGTCGCAGTACAATCACGGTACCCTGGTAGATTAGGACACTGTGTAGTAAAGGAACTCTCGAAGCCTAAGTCACTGTACACTAGCTGTAATCTCGTAAATTTAGTCAGTGTACAGCACTGAGACTAGGTCCCAGAGATATAGAATGTTTACGTGAGAGAGTGTGTGTTTTGAATGTGTTCTGTCAATGCGTTTGTGTTCTGTGTGATGCGTGTGTGAAGTATCTCAACGATGAATGTTGTCATCTGTGTTGCGGTGTCTAAGTACCGTAGCGTCACAGTGGCGTGGACGTGGGGTGCGGTCCGCGGTCCGCACAGGGTGACACTATTTAGAGGGTGACACCAAATCGAAAAATCGTAAAATGTACTGTCAAATGAATATAATATCGAGCTGAAATAATAAAATATTGGGGGAAAGGGGATACCAAACTTAAAATGGCTTGATGAGGGATGTTGTGACCCCCCCCCCCCCCCCCCCAAGTCACAGTACACACGACATACTGTCGCCACTTTCTAAGGAAACTGTAAATGTTGTACTTTGTTTTATTGTTGTTGTTTTTTATTGTTTTTTAATTATTTATTTTTATTTATTTTTTGTTGTTTTTTTTTAAATCAAGTATATTTCAAAACACGTTTAAAAAATGTACACATATCCAACCTCATGATAATCTTTTTTTTAAGTTATAACAAACGTTAAACACCATCTTTTTTTTTAACGAAAATACGTTACTTCTCGTTGCAGAAAAGGCAACTTCTCCCTTCTTGTTTTTCTTCGACCCTGAGTCTTTAAACCTAAAGCTGATTTGTCCACAAAACATTAAAAGTACAAAAACAAAATGCTGCCTCAAAAAGCCAAAGTGTTGGCAAAGACGAAGTGCTGTTACACATTAGCTAAGTATAGGCAAGAACAAATTGACGCACAAAGTTAAGTAGCCTTAGTACTGACCAGACACTATGACGTACAGCAGAAAGTCTAACCAAAGTCTTAGGTTTAGAAAAAAAAAATGCCGTGCAATAGTCTACAGATAAAAACAAACTTTTTGCCGAAAACATTTAAAGACATCACAACTAAACAAAGATTAATGAAACAGTATACTAAGTTTTATGAATATATCTTTATTTTGTTATTTATAAAGTATATTTTTGGTTTTGTTCTGAGAAAAGTGTCCCTTCCAAGTTTTTCATTGCCTTATCTACAGCCTCGCTTTGGGCGACAGTGAGACAGTTTTTCCAGTCCCCGACTTGACCTAGAAAAGAAAAAGAAAAGTCAGTTTTACTCTAAGTTAAAAATGTAAGGGTAGAGGATAAATTCTCCATCAAGGAAATAATGAATGAAATATAACTACCAAAAGTTTTAATAAGTTTTAAAAAGGCAAAAAATATATGTTATTAAAATAGCTTTAAAAACTTGAAAAAAATATGTTTAAAATTTATTAAATTATAATTATTTCTTAGATATTCATCATATTAAATTTTAAATTAATATGCAACGAATAACCCCTGACCTTTTCTCATGAGCGCTTTGGACAAGGATTGGCTCTGGTTATAGGTCGTCTTCATAGCATCAGACCCTGCGGCCTTGGCTATCTCCGCCAGAAGCTGGTCATCAAGGTCAAGGTCAAGGAAGGCTGACATCCGCTTCATCACCGTGGGCAGGTCCTGGACGATTGATGTGATCAGCATCGTTATAATATAAACACAGTCGGTCTAATGTAGGATGTGATCAGCATCGTTATAATATAAACACAGTCGGTCTAATGTAGGATGTGATCAGCATCGTTATAATATAAACACAGTCGGTCTAATGTAGGATGTGATCAGCATCGTTATAATATAAACACAGTCGGTCTAATGTAGGATGTGATCAGCATCGTTATAATATAAACACAGTCGGTCTAATGTAGGGTGTGTTCAGCATCGTTATAATATAAACACAGTCGGTCTAATGTAGGATGTGATCAGCATCGTTATAATATAAACACAGTCGGTCTAATGTAGGATGTGATCAGCATCGTTATAATATAAACACAGTCGGTCTAATGTAGGATGTGATCAGCATCGTTATAATATAAACACAGTCGGTCTAATGTAGGATGTGATCAGCATCGTTATAATATAAACACAGTCGGTCTAATGTAGGATGTGATCAGCATCGTTATAATATAAACACAGTCGGTCTAATGTAGGATGTGATCAGCATCGTTATAATATAAACACAGTCGGTCTAATGTAGGATGTGATCAGCATCGTTATAATATAAACACAGTCGGTCTAATGTAGGATGTGATCAGCATCGTTATAATATAAACACAGTCGGTCTAATGTAGGATGTGATCAGCATCGTTATAATATAAACACAGTCGGTCTAATGTAGGATGTGATTGATCAGCATCGTTATAATATAAACACAGTCGGTCTAATGTAGGATGTGATCAGCATCGTTATAATATAAACACAGTCGGTCTAATGTAGGATGTGATCAGCATCGTTATAATATAAACACAGTCGGTCTAATGTAGGATGTGATCAGCATCGTTATAATATAAACACAGTCGGTCTAATGTAGGATGTGATCAGCATCGTTATAATATAAACACAGTCGGTCTAATGTAGGATGTGATCAGCATCGTTATAATATAAACACAGTCGGTCTAATGTAGGATGTGATCAGCATCGTTATAATATAAACACAGTCGGTCTAATGTAGGATGTGATCAGCATCGTTATAATATAAACACAGTCGGTCTAATGTAGGGTGTGATCAGCATCGTTATAATATAAACACAGTCGGTCTAATGTAGGATGTGATCAGCATCGTTATAATATAAACACAGTCGGTCTAATGTAGGGTGTGATCAGCATCGTTATAATATAAACACAGTCGGTCTAATGTAGGATGTGATCAGCATCGTTATAATATAAACACAGTCGGTCTAATGTAGGATGTGATCAGCATCGTTATAATATAAACACAGTCGGTCTAATGTAGGATGTGATCAGCATCGTTATAATATAAACACAGTCGGTCTAATGTAGGATGTGATCAGCATCGTTATAATATAAACACAGTCGGTCTAATGTAGGATGTGATCAGCATCGTTATAATATAAACACAGTCGGTCTAATGTAGGGTGTGATCAGCATCGTTATAATATAAACACAGTCGGTCTAATGTAGGATGTGATCAGCATCGTTATAATATAAACACAGTCGGTCTAATGTAGGATGTGATCAGCATCGTTATAATATAAACACAGTCGGTCTAATGTAGGATGTGATCAGCATCGTTATAATATAAACACAGTCGGTCTAATGTAGGATGTGATCAGCATCGTTATAATATAAACACAGTCGGTCTAATGTAGGATGTGATCAGCATCGTTATAATATAAACACAGTCGGTCTAATGTAGGATGTGATCAGCATCGTTATAATATAAACACAGTCGGTCTAATGTAGGATGTGATCAGCATCGTTATAATATAAACACAGTCGGTCTAATGTAGGATGTGATCAGCATCGTTATAATATAAACACAGTCGGTCTAATGTAGGGTGTGTTCAGCATCGTTATAATATAAACACAGTCGGTCTAATGTAGGATGTGATCAGCATCGTTATAATATAAACACAGTCGGTCTAATGTAGGATGTGATCAGCATCGTTATAATATAAACACAGTCGGTCTAATGTAGGATGTGATCAGCATCGTTATAATATAAACACAGTCGGTCTAATGTAGGGTGTGATCAGCATCGTTATAATATAAACACAGTCGGTCTAATGTAGGGTGTGATCAGCATCGTTATAATATAAACACAGTCGGTCTAATGTAGGATGTGATCAGCATCGTTATAATATAAACACAGTCGGTCTAATGTAGGATGTGATCAGCATCGTTATAATATAAACACAGTCGGTCTAATGTAGGATGTGATCAGCATCGTTATAATATAAACACAGTCGGTCTAATGTAGGGTGTGTTCAGCATCGTTATAATATAAACACAGTCGGTCTAATGTAGGATGTGATCAGCATCGTTATAATATAAACACAGTCGGTCTAATGTAGGATGTGATCAGCATCGTTATAATATAAACACAGTCGGTCTAATGTAGGATGTGTTCAGCATCGTTATAATATAAAGACAGTAGGTCTAATGTAGGATGTGATCAGCATCGTTATAATATAAACACAGTCGGTCTAATGTAGGATGTGATCAGCAACGTTATAATATAAACACAGTCGGTCTAATGTAGGATGTGATTGATCAGCATCGTTATAATATAAACACAGTCGGTCTAATGTAGGATGTGATCAGCATCGTTATAATATAAACACAGTCGGTCTAATGTAGGATGTGATCAGCATCGTTATAATATAAACACAGTCGGTCTAATGTAGGATGTGATCAGCATCGTTATAATATAAACACAGTCGGTCTAATGTAGGATGTGATCAGCATCGTTATAATATAAACACAGTCGGTCTAATGTAGGATTTATACTAGCTTGCAGTCGGCAAGCTTGTTATCAACAACGACGAAAAACATATCATTGATATTATCAAGTACACACTAGGCCAGGGGTCGGCAACCTTTTGAGCCTGAAGAGCCAAAAGTTACAGTTTACATAAGTTCCCAGTTTTTAAAGAGCCACTAAATTTTTATTTCAATATTTTGGCATTTGATTAGGATTAGATCTATACTTTTGATTTGAAATAAATAGCTTTAAATATGAAATAATATTTATACTTAAAAAGAACACTAATATTTCGCACAAAACATATTAAAGTATTATACCTAGCTATTATACCTAATAAAATTAGTAATCTAATAATACGAGAAAAATGGCCCGTTGAGGGAGGATACAACGGGCGCTAGGTTGATAGTGCTGTCTATTTTCTCGGTACTTTAATTTATTCAAAATATGGTCATAGGCATATCCCTAAAACATGCACCTAATCTCAATGACAAAAGTCGCATTTAGAGTCTCTTTCAGGCTACTCTACTTGGGAGGAGGTTTTCGCCCCCCCCCCCCTCCCCCCCCCCCCCCCACACACACACTCCAAAACATGTCTACCGTCCCATTCAACGAAATATAATTATATACTTTTTCCCGTGTCCGCCCCCTCCCAGAAAATTCTACCCCGCCCCCGAAAATTTCAAGTACCCCCCACCCCTCTCCGGGGAGGAAAAAGTCTGAAAGAAACACTGGTCGCATTTGTAGATCATACAAACTAAAGGAAGAATCTGGGCGGGGCTTCGCCCCTACCGGAAAAGATGCTTGAAAAAAAAACTGCCCGCTAAATGCTTTTTAGATTAGAAAAAGTTCCCCCCCTCCGGGGAGGAAAAAGTCTGAAAGAATCACTGGTGTCGCGCTTAGCCACTACGCGAAAAATTGCATTAAAGAAATTGCAAGAAAACCACTTTTTAGATTAGACACATTAATTAGGCGGTAATTTTATTATAGAGTATCGATGAGGAAATTTCTTTTGAGTTGGGGAGGGGGGGGGGGGGGCTCAGACGTTCTTACGCGGGGGTGGGGCTTCGCCCCTACCCGAAGAACTGTATGAAAGAAACTCTTCACGCAAACCACTTAGATTAGACAAAATTGCCTTTTTATTCAATGTTTACTCGAGAATCAATGACGTCATATTACTGTGTGCACTCTCCGGCTTGATATTATTTTCTACTATATGACGTCATACTTCGTTTTTCGAATTACTATGCATGTTTTTAATTTGCTTGTGTTTTCTCTAGAGCGTTCTTGTCAGATACATAGATAGATACACAGATAGATAGATAGATAGATACACAGACAGCGAAACTATTATTATAGATACCAATACGACTATCTCAATCCGCTTTTAAAGCCAATAACTTTTTTTTTCTTTACGGACACCGCCGGCTCAGGCGGTGTCTCCTATAGCCCAGCATGGTCAACTCCGACTACTGGCTCGGATATCGGTCACTTCTGTCTTCGGTTCTCATCGGGCTTATCTTCCTACCGACTGAACGCTTGGTAAACTCGTACCCCACCGTCTCAACCGTAGGAAGCTAATAACGTTTTAAAAAACACGTCACTCATGTCAAATAAATGTATACTGACCGATAGAGAAATGCATTCTGAATAAGAATAATATTCCCCATTTAACGATATTCGAAAAAGTCGGCAGTGGCAAGAATGGAACCTTCGCCACGGGGCTGGCTACAGCACGGTTGTGGGGCTGGGTCTGGTGCCAAAGAGGCTGTCAGCTGTCTGTATACTCTCTACCTCGCCTACTCTCATTGTTTCTGATGAGTGTTTTTATCCTGTTTAAAGTTGTTTTTTTTTCTCTATAATAATTTTAATGAGTTTTAAAAATATTGTAAAATATTTATTAATATTTGTGCATGGAACTGGAGAGTCGCATCTTGACATCAAAAGAGCCGCATGCGACTCGCGAGCCGCAGGTTGCCGACCCCTGCACTAGACCTAGTCAATATTTTAACTAAGATTTAGTCTGTTTCATAAACATTTTGTAAACCTGCTTCATGTCCTCATAAGACACCACCAGTATGGGATGGTCTGGGTGAGATTTGATCACGTGGTCCCATTCTAGATAATAGTCGAAGTAAGATTCGTAGTCGACTGTAGAGAAAGAAACGATTAATATGAGAGAATTACAATTTATATATATATATATATATATATATATATATATATATATATATATATATATATATATATATATATATGTATATTTATATACATATATATATATACATATATATATATATATATATATATATATATATATATATATATATATATATATATATATATATATATATATATATATATATATGCCTATCTTAATTAATTATTTAATAAAAAAATTCATTCATTCATTCATTTTTTAAATTTATGTTTTTATTTATTTATTTTCTTATTTCTTAATATGTACATGTATATAAATGAATATATATATATATATATATATATATATATATATATATATATATATATATATATATATATATATATATATATATATGTAGAGAGAGAGAGAGATGGATGGATGGATGGATGGATGGATGGATGGATGGAGAGACATTAGGATAAGGATAACAACCAAGCAACCTACTTTGCCCCTCCATGTATAAAGGGAACCAACTCTTGAAGGTGCCGTCATATTTGTACAGGTCGAATAACGACACGATATGGTGGTAGTAGGAGACGGCTGTGTCTTTTGGGTTCCTGTAGGTCAGGACTATCTTCGTCTTCTTTTCCGTCAGCTGGAGGCGGGGATAGGTTATGGTTAAGGCAATATATTTATAATAAAGATGCGCTATGGTGTTACGTTTAACTTTAAAGGTAGGCTAGGAATAGTTTTGATCCCCTGAGATAGTTCGTATGTATTGTGGTTTAACTGTGTTTGTTGGTTTGTTTACACTAAGCCGTGTGAAATATTGGGTAGGTAGTCCCACACATCTTACCTGTCTGGGCAGGTAGTCCCACACATCTTACCTGTCTGGGCAGGTAGTCCCACACATCTTACCTGTCTGGGCAGGTAGTCCCACACATCTTACCTGTCTGGGCAGGTAGTCCCACACGTCTTACCTGTCTGGGCAGGTAGTTCACACATCTTACCTGTCTGGGCAGGTAGTCCCACACATCTTACCTGTCTGGGCAGGTAGTCCCACACATCTTACCTGTCTGGGCAGGTAGTCCCACACATCTTACCTGTCTGGGCAGGTAGTCCCACACATCTTACCTGTCTGGGCAGGTAGTCCCACCACAGGTGTGAGTTCAACACCCTGGGGCTGGGCGTGTTTTCTAGAAGATTCATGGGCGAGGCTTCTAAAAACGC